AAGTGTCAACTGTTTTTACTTTGAGATATAATATTTTTTTATCTCTCTAATAAAAAGTCAAAAGTATTAAAAGGGTATTTATATTTGACACGAAGAGGGTAATTTTCTGGAGGTTTAACAATTCCATTTTCGAATATTAGTGTAGAGTTGGTTATGTCTTGGTTAATTAAGTACTTTATACATAATTCCAGGTTTAAATAGTTTCGAGGAAGTGTATATAAACAACTTTGGAATGATAAAAAAGAAAAATATGAGCATTACATGGTTTCTGTACAATTTAATTCCCTAATGTAATGTCAATTTCTCGAATTACTAATTATTTAACCAACTTAACATAATTACTAATTTCTTCAAATCACGAAGTCTTTTCTATAATACTATCGATGTGGGACAACGCAATTGACAGGTACATTTTCTTCATTTTTCTTTAAAAACTGGAATTTCAAAATGTGCTGTGATGAAAGGGAAAAAAGATCAAATAAAGTGCCTTTTTAAGTGAAAGAAACTGAACTAATGCCATCAAAAACAAAAAAATTGGACTCATGTTTGATGGGTTGAGCCAGGCCCGTGCAGTAGTGCAACGCATGGACGACTCGTGAAAGCCCAGATAGCAAGCTACCTTAATGGGCTTCTCCCTTAAAAAATTGAGTTAATATCGTGCAGCCCGATAGACCACATATCAGATATTAAACTGATAAGAACAGATACTACACTTGATCTTAGCCAAAAGGCCGAGAAAGGTATGAGTTGGAAGACAGGCTTGGCTTCGTTTATATACACGAACTAAATGACCAACGCTTCACTAGCTTACCGATGTGGGACAAAAAACATATAACATTTTACTCATTTTTTATTCTTTAAGCAAACAAAACACAATCTTCGCTGCTTTTTGGTTTAACAATTTACATGAGTTGATGTAAATTGTAATCATAAAAAAACGCAGTTTATAGGAAGAAGATCGATATATAAAATTAAGATTTCATTCACCTGAACTCTGAATAATCTGTATCCAAAAATCAGCATTCAGATTACATCCCAAAAGTTGGAAAAAATTCTCCTTTTATTTTTGTTTCTTCCTAGAGAACTGATGATAATCAGAAAATTAGTTTTC